TGGTACGGAATGTGGTGCGAGTCAAACTCCGAGAGGAGCATGCCTAATCAATCACGTCAGACTATCAATGTGTCGATCGAGCTTTGTACCGAACGAGTAAATGTCGGCGGCCACCGAGTACGCGCTCTCGAGGAGGACCTCGGGGGCCATCCACCGAAACGTGCCCACGCCCATCGTGGACATCTTCCTTGGCGACCCCAAAGTCGACGATCTTGACGCCTTTGACCGAGTCGAGAAGCACGTTGCGGGACTTGAGATCGCGATGCACAATGTTGAGCGAGTGGAGGTACGAGAGACCGTCGACGATTCCGCGCAGCGCCTCGAGCTTCATCGCCCACGTGTAGACGCTAGCGTCATGGGCCGCCAAGTAGTCCTTAAGGTCGCCTTGGTCCATGAGCTCCATGACCGCACACAAGTCCATCGGGGTTGTCCAGGTGGCACCGATGAGCTTGATGATGTGGGTCGAGTTGAACCTTTGACCAAGTTTAGAATGGATCAAGAGGTGTTTGAAAACGTACCGGGACATGAGCTCGATCTCGTTGACGAAGCTCTGGATGTCGGCGTTGGACCGCCGACTGTTCTGGAGTTGCTTGACAGCGACGGGAGTGCCGTTGTAGGAGCCCTTGGAGACGGCTGCAAACGAGCCGTAGCCGAGGACGCAGTCGAGGTGCAGCATTCCTTGGTCGAGGCGGACCTTGTAGAGGCCGCTGAGGTTGATATGGACGGCGTCAGGGTTGCGCTTTGGGGTGGGCGCAATGAAGGGCTGTGCGAGAATGTTGGAGTTCTTCTTCTTGAGCTTCTTGGATCGCAAGACGAAGAAGACAGCGAGGAAGATGGCGATGACGACGGCCGCGCTGCCGCCGACAATGCCGGCCGTATCTACGAAAGCACGTCATCAACGACGTCGAGATCGCGAACGTACAGTCGGTGGTCGTCGACACAGTGACTGGTTGCGGTGTACTTGTAGCTGACACCGCGTCCGTCGTGACCAGTGGCGTCGTAACGACGACGGGCGCGGCGGTGGCGTTGACTGCGACGGAAACAATGGTATCGTTCCAGGCGCTGTCGAGGCTGCTCGTGTCGTTTTTGAACGTTGTCGTTGCTCCACCGGCACTGAAGGCCGTCATGGTGTAGCCGGGAGCGACCGCGATCGACGACGCGTCCTCGGAGAAATACGCTTCGAGCTCTGTCGAGCCTGGCGAGAGCACGAGCATGGCGCCTTGGTAGTCGGAGCTCCTCCAAAGCGCCGCGACAGCGAGCACGTCGTGGGCGTTCGAGCGCGTGTTGGAAGCGCTGGTCCGTCGCACCTCGTAAGAGCTGGCTTGACTCTTCCAGAGCCAGCCAAGGTTCGTGGGGGCCGTCCACTCCATGTAATAGAGCCCGATGGAGGTCAGCGATTGCGCGTAGAGGTATTTGGAGTAGGTCACAAAGACGTAGCCGGGCTGCACTTTCACCGACTTGATGCTGCCTTGCCACACGCTTGGCAAGGTCGTGAACCCTGCCACGTCCAAGTCGATCGAGGAGCCGAGGAAGCTGTATTCGTTGTAGACCGTCACGGGGGCTGCGGAAGCAAAGGCGACGGCAAGCGCCGCCGCCACGCACGTGTGCCAACCGAGCATAACTGCAAAGTGGGTAGCTATTGCACGGGATTGAAACACATGCTGCTGGCTACAGTCATGTGGTCGGTGCTGGGGTTCTCCCAGTTGAACTCGGTTTGGCCCCGGTTTCGGTTCCATTTCTCAAGCTCCAAACCGAATCAAACCGAACCGTGGAGAGCCCAACCTCGGGTTGTGGTCATGACAACAACATGGCGCGACCCCTCTCAAGCGCGACTTCCCGATTGGGGACTCGCCATAGTGTACCGCTCAGCAAGGCCTAGGGATCCAATAACACTGCTGCCACCAACCTCTATCACGTCGCAGCTGCACTCAAAGCCAGCGTCGTACAAGACCCGCTGCGTGTTATATTAATATTACTTGTGTGTTACCTACTTGCGTACCGAGCGCGCCCGCACAATACGACGCGGGCCACCGCTTTGCTTGGGCGGCGCCTGGCCCATCGAGAAACCCCCCGCAGCAGCAGGAGGCGCCGCGTTGAAGCCGCCGCCAAACGGAGCCGCGGGAGCAGCACCGAAGCCATTGGGCGCGCCAAACCCTGGGGCCCCGCCGGAATGCAGAGGCCGCCGGCGCGCCAAAGCCACTGTTGTTGTTGTTGTTGCCACCGAACGCCGTCGGGGCGCCAAAGGCCGAGGGAGCTGTCGGGCGCCAAAGGCCGAGGGAGCCGGCGCCGCGCCAAAGCCAGCACCCGCTGCAGGAGCAGGGGCGCCAAAGCTCGGCGCAGCGTTAAAGGCAGGTGCGGGAGCACTGCCGCCAAACGCCGAGGACGAGCCAAAGCCCGTGGACGCCGTCGGGCACCGAACGCCGGCGTCGCGGCCGGTGCAGCACCAAAGGCGGTCGTGGGCGACGGCGAGGCAAAGGCCGAGGTTGACGCGCCAAAGGTCGTCGGTGCGCTGCTGCCAAAGCCAAACGACGACGGCGTCGCGTTGCGCGTGGCTTCCGTCGTCGCCGGCGTGCTGAACGCAGGCGTCTCGGTCGGCGCACCGCCAAACGTAAACGTCGGCTTGTCGCCAAACGCGGTCGCCGGCTTGTCGGCCGACGCGCCAAAGTTGAACGACGTCGACGGGGCGGGCGTCTCGGCCGTCTTGTTGGCGCCGAACGTAAACGACGGCGACGCCGTGGGCTTGTCCGCGCCGAACGAAAGCGCCTTGTCGGCAGACGGCGTCAACGCAGGCTTCTCGGTCGTGTCCTTGGCCGCTCCAAAACCCAAACTGGGCGCCGCCTTGTCCGCCGTCGCGCCAAAGCCAAACGACATGGTCGCCTTCTCAGCGGGCTTCTCCACCGGCTTGGCGGCAGCATCCGCGGGCTTGTCAGCGCCAAAGCCAAAGTTCATTGACGTCTTCTTCTCTTCCGGCTTGTCGGTCGACGTTGCAGCACCAAAGCCAAAGCCCAAGGCAGGCTTCTCCGCCGGCTTGTCTGCAGACGCAGAAGAGGCACCAAACCCAAAGCCGGTCGAGGTCTTGTCAGCCGTCGACGCGCCGAAGCCAAAGCCGGCAGCAGGCTTGTCCGACGCGGGAGCGCTGAAGCCAAAGCCGGCAGCAGGCTTGTCCGACGCGGGAGCGCTGAAGCTGAAGCCTGCAGCAGGCTTGTCGGCCGGCTTGTCGGCCACCGGAGCGCTAAAGCTGAAGCCAGCAGCAGGCTTGTCTGCCGGCTTGTCGGCCACCGGGGCAGTGAAGCTGAAGCCGGCGGCAGGCTTGTCTGCCGGCTTGTCCGACGCGGGAGCGCTGAAGCTGAAGCCCGCAGCAGGCTTGTCTGCCGGCTTGTCGGCCGCGGGAGCGCTAAAGCTGAAGCCGGCGGCGGGCTTGTCGGCCGGCTTGTCGGCTGCCGGGGCAGTGAAGCTAAAGCCCGCAGCTGGCTTGTCCGCCGGCTTGTCGGTCGACGAGATGCCAAAGGAAACGCCAGCCGCACTTTTGGCCGGTGGCGCGCTAAACCCAAACGTCGGCAGCGGCTTGTCCGTGACATCGACCGGCGCCGGAGCTTCGGCCGTCGGTGCCGTGAATGCAAACACCGTTTTGGCTGGCGCGCTGCTGCCGTCGTCCGAGGCCTTGCGCTTCTTCTTCGACTCGGGCTCGGTCGCAGCCACGGGCGCAGGCTCGGCCGTCGGCTGATCCGTGTTGCAGCACGGGCACTTGGCCTGCGCCGCCTTGTTGCGCACCTTGCATCCCGGACACTGCCACGTCCCGGGTGCTTGGACCAAGAAGCGCGCCAGCGGGTTGCCGCTGTCCATGGCCGGCGCTGGCGTCGACGTCGGGGCCACGGGTACAGGGAGCGACAGTGCGACAGGTGCGGCGGCGACGACGGGCGTGGCCGACGGCTTGTCCGTGTTGCAGCATGGGCACTTGGTCTGCGTGTCCTTGTTGGCGACGTAGCACGACGGGCACTTCCAGCCACCGGGCGCCGACTGCTTAAACTTGTCGAGTGGGTTGGAGCCGGTGCTGGTTGTCGGCGCCGTCGGCTTGGAAAACGTTGGCGGCGACGCGACCGGAGCCGCCGTCGGCACAACCTGCAGCGGCTGCATGGCCGGCTTCTGCGACGTGAGCGCCTTCACGGGTGCGACCTTCATCGACGGCGGCTTGGAGAAGGCGTACGCGACGGGCACGTTCATGAGCGACTCCTTCGAGGTAAACTCCGTGTCCTTGGGCGGCAAGCCAAACGTAAACACGTTGCCGGCGGCCTTGCGCACGGTGGTAGTCGCTGGCTTGGGCGCGACAAAGACCGCCGGCGCCGACGGCGCTGGCGTCGGGGCAACGGTCACGGTCGATAGCACGGGCGGCGGGCCCACGGACGTCGGCGGCTGGACGACCGGCGGCAGCGGCGCAAAGATGGGCAGGCTCTGCGTCGGGAACGCGGCCTTGGGGCTCTCGCTCGACATATCCACGTCGTTCGTCGTCGTCGCGTCGTCTTGCACCTCGAGATGGTACTTCTTCCACGACATGCTCATGCTCGGGAGCGGCTTCTTTGCCTCTTGCGCCAGCGGGTCCGTCTCGAGCGCCTGGAGCGTCGCGAGGATGCGGTCCGTGACGGCCTTGGCGTGCTCTTGCCGCTCGTCCATCGACTGCGCCGCGAGGAGGCGGCTCGGCGCCGGGCGCTTCAGGCGGCGCTCTTCGCGAGAAAGAGCATACGACTTGATCAAGGCGCCGCGCGAGAGCTTGGCCTGCTTGGCCGGCCGTTCTTCAAACAAGTTGATCGGCACGAGCGGCTCGTCCGTGCGCGCGCGCGCATACCGCACGACCGGCTCCGAGTACGTGCCGGGCACATACTGCTCGTCGTCGCCTTGATCGTGCACGCTCGAGTCGAGGACCTTCCGGGCCTTCTTCGGCGGTGTCTTGGTCTTGCGCGTAACTCAAAGACGGGCTCGGCCTTGGCCTCGGCCTCGGGCTGGTCGTCGCTGAGGCCAATGCGGGCGAACGTGAAGCCCGACCGGCGCGCCGGCGAGAGCGGCGCCGTCTTGAGCGGCGACTTGGGGCGGCGCGTCGGCGTGGGCGGCGCCGGCGCGGGCTCATGTTCGTCGCCTAGGAAGGAGCTTAAGAGCGGGACATGCTTCAGCACGCGCGTCCAGCTGGCCCAGGAGCCTGCCCGGCGCCCGTCCTCGTCGTCGTGCGCTCGCTTCATCGCAGGACTTTATACTACGAAACCCAAATCAACTTTGGACCGGATTATTCGGTGCGCGGGCCACAGGTTTTTGGCCAATCAAAAGGCGATATTTAGATTTCGCGGCGCAATTCCACCAATCCGACGCGCGGACATTATCCGGATACCGTATGCGGAAATTCGAAGGCCGGGTGGTGGCTGGAAACACGCGTGGCGTTTTACACGTCGCAGGCCTAAAAAACCGCGCGCGCCGCGAGTATAGTGGGATGCAGACCGCGGGCATTTCCCACGTGAGCTTCGCACGTTTACCACGTTTCCCACGCGAAGAGAAAACGGGCGCGAAACCGCCTTCGCGGCGGGAACCGGATAAATGGCCCTGTCCCTGGCGGTGTTTCAAACATTAAAAGACATAAAAGAACCATTAAAAGAACAGGTCTTTTCGCGCCACCGCCAAGTCGATATACAAACAAGCCAACAATACATCACCGACGACAGTATTGTCCATCGACCAATATACCAAGCTCGTCGTGACGAACTAAACGGCGGCAATTCAAACTCACGTGCCCCAACAGAGAGTGAGAGACCCGTCAATTCACTTCGCAATGTCCCGCCACATAACATCGATCCTGTATGGCCGCGCCTTTTCCACGCGTTCTCATGAAGGCTGGATATCGATGAGCTCGAGTTCTAGGTAGCTACGAATAACACCAAAGGTTTAGGGTAGTGCATGCCCTGGCGCACCCTGCTCATAGCGTCCTTAGCGCCGCCTCCCTTTTGCTTGGCGCCAAGTGTCTCTCGGTTTAGTGCGTCGAGTTGATCCGGTAGCTAATTATAGGGGCGGTTTGATTCACAAAGCACTCACTTATTTTACCGACTCGCACCGTGGACCATGGAGAGCGTCAACATCGGCAACTACAAGGGCGTCATGCTCTGCAACCGGCCCTTCAACAGCGTGAGCTCAAGTACCCTCGTCGCCACTTCGATCCTCGCTCACGCCAGCCTTTTAGCACAAAAAGAGGTCGCCGCCGTCGACAAGAAAGGCCCGTTCCTCGGCGGCATCCAGCCCGCACCGATTGGCACCAACGTCCCCATCTTCCACGAGCCGCCGGTGCCCGAAATGATCACATCATCCACGTTGCTTCACACGCGACGTATTAGCACGCGGTGAAGCGCGATAAGAAGAGCACGGCGCTCTCCAAGCACAAGAAATGGCTCCACGACCTCCAGAAGGAGCGCAGCCGGCTCGAGTCGGCGCTCCTCGAGGACGAGGCTGCTAAAGAGTGCCGCAAGGACAAGTACATCGTCTTGCACAAGGATAGCTCTTGTACTAAAACACTCTAGGTTTGCCAAGCGCGAGGCGGATCTGCGCGCCAAGATCCGCCAGCGCCCCCAAGGTACTCACTCCAAATACACGGAAATGGCGAGGGCTCGTGTAGACGACGAGGAAAAGGGCGTCTTGACCTCGCGGCCGGCGTGGGCGCTGACCAAGGACAAGGCGGAGAGCAAGCGCGACCAGCAGGACGAAGACAGCGTCGACGATCTCTTGGCGTTCGCCAACAACCTCGACATTGACACGTTCCTCGGCGACGTCGAGCTCAAGGCCCAAGTCGCGCAGGTCGACGAGCAGCTCGCGCAGCTCCAGGAGCTCGTCAACCAAGAAGAGGCCGACGAGAAGAAGGGCCAAGTCCGCGAGCGCCTCCAGCAGGAGAGCCTCGAGCGGCAGTACCTCAACGCGGCGACGCTCGCGCGGCTGAGTGCGCGAGACGCCAAGGACAGCGACGACGACGACGACTCCAAGAGCGTGGCGTCGGTGCGTCGATATCTATCTGCGTGGCTCCGTATTGAACTGCATGTAGACGGTGCTTTCGGAATGCAAGTCGATCCGGTCCGTGCACTCGACCAAGTCCGTGCTCGCACTCACCAAGCGCGCCGAGCAAAAGCTGTCGCTGGACCCGATCCCGGAGCCGCACGTGGTGACGCACGATGAGGAGAGCGGGACGCGGCTCCTCAACAAACACCTCACGAGCAACCTCCCCTACATGCACCGCAACCCCGCTGTTTAAGAAACTAAGAATCAACTAACGATACTCAATATTACCACTCTGTGAACCAAGCTCAGGCGCGCTAGTCGTTGTCACCGCTACGTCAAGCCAGTGGTATCGAGACTGGATCGACCACGAGAAGCCAGATAATACACCTTTCAATCTGGGTGGATGCATTTCCATGAAGCCAACGACGCAGCGAGAGTCCGTCCACGACGTAGGAACGCCGATCTTGGACGACGGGTTATTAAATAGATTTAAAGGTAGACCCGGACTAGGACTAGGGCACGGGCAGCTTGATGGGCTCGGCCCAAATGACGTGGTCGGCGTTCTGCGTGTCGTCGGCATTCTCGTCGTCGTAATCGTCGTCTTCGCTCGAGGCGACGGGGTCGACCCAGAGCTCTTTACAGCCCGATCGGTTGGTCTCGGGCAAGCGGCTCGTCGACTTTTTCTTCTTCTCCAGGCGGCGCTGGTTCAGATTCGCTTTGACGCGGTGGAACTCGCAGAGGCTGTGGAGCTGGCCGTTCTTCTTTATGGCGCGAGGCAAGAGGCAGACCTTGTTGCGGTACAAGCACGGATGACTGCCCGTGGCCTCCATGACGCAAATTCCCAAGTGAGCGATCGGCTTGATATATCAGACGTCGCACAGAACAAGATGATTCCTTCGCGACATGCGCCACCCGCCTCTTTGCGCATTTACGTCAGTCACGACAGTGTCACGTCCCAGGGCGACAGACAAGTTGACTTACCGAGCGCAGACGTGGCCTTTCTGCATATATAAAACACCGTAGGCGCTCAAACCGTAGGCGACGCTCAATTGCACATTTCGTATACATTGGCCTCGTTCAGTCGAATTAAAAAACCTTTTTTAAATAAAAAGGCTCGAAAAAAGCCTACGGTTGCGGAAACGTGGCAGCACCACACGGCGAGACGGTATGCGAAGGCGATTACGCCATCCAGAGGTCGGGCTCACGGCGTTGCGTCACGGTATCTCGAGCGCGCCGTTCACGCAGCGTGACCATGCAGCGACCTACAAGTAGCCAAGTGCACCGAGACACACTGCGTCCAGAAACAGGCTTGGAAGCTTACGTAGTCGTCGTCGTGTCGACGCAAGCAGGCTCGGATATCGGTGTATATTGAGCCAGGGCGATGGGTTATCATTCATCAAGTTCAACGTGACGGTCATTACGCCCAGAATGATGCGTGCTGCGTTCGCGGGTCGACGAAGGCGCTGGCTTCTTCGCCAGCTGCGATAGCGGAAGCTATCGATTCCTCCTGTGGCCCTTCCACAATACTGTACATGTATGCACGACCACGAAGCAGCGACAACTTGCTAGCTTAATACTACTACTACTACTTGACGGAGCTCGGCGACGGACGCGATCTTATAGCCACCGAGGCAGTGCGACGACGACCGGCTCGACTACCGTAGCACTCGCCATCAACCGTGTCGTAGACACGTCTTCTAGCATAGACAGGCAACAGCGTGTTGTGCTTTTGATGGTGCTATCGCATCCTATAACTATACAGACGACAAGGCCTAGACGACGACGACATGCGCCGTTAACAGCGTCTGGATGGCCGCGATCTTCCTTGCCACTTGCTGCGCTTGCATCGCATGCAGGTGCGCTGCCATTTGCTCGCGCATCTCGGGCATCGGAAATTCGAGGCAAATGCTGTCGTCGCCGCCTCGTATGCGCAGACGCATCGCATCCTCTTGGATCGAGACCGCGTGCAGTGGCTGCACGTGTGTCACAAGCCCTACTGTCCGGTCGCGCGCGTCTGGTCGCACCACGACAAAGAGGTCGGCGTTCAGGAGACAGTACACGTCGGTCTGTGCGAAGACGCATGGTACAAAGCTGCGCTCGGCCAGCGGCAGCGGCGCGCGCAGCGTCCAGTGCCGCCGCAGCACCGCCGATTCCTCTTGCTGGTCGGTTGAGAGCGCCGCAATCGCGGGGCCGATGGACGGCGACAGAAGATGCAGCGCATCGAACGCGCGCAAGAGTTCGAGAAGCAACGTCACGCGCGAGACAGACAACGACGTCTCCGCTGCGACGAGCGCGGACCACTGCACCTCAAAGTCGCTCTCATCGGCCCGCTTGTCGCGTACCATTGTCGACGTTGCTGCTTCCCACGTGGCTATGTCGTCGGGGACGTCGGCTCGGTGCTGCTGGAGGAGGTTCTTGAAGCGGTCACTAAAACAGGTCGCCCAGCAAGGAACGCGCCCCGACCCGGACGCGGTCATGTGCAACAGCATATCGAGCGTGATCTGCAGCGACTGGAGGTGCATTGGCGCTTCGACCTCTCGGAGGAGGCCATCAATGAGCGCTGCATCGTAGACGGGCGGGAAGGAAGGGTCGATAAAGCTGGCGCGGGGGTCGTCCTTGGTCTCGGGATGAGCATCCTCGTCGTCGTCGTCGTCGTCGTCATCGTCGTCGTAGCCGAGGGCAGCACCGACGGGCGACGCCGGGAGGCTCAGGCGCGGCGCCAGACGTGGGAGGAGCATGAGGTCCTTCAAGAGCGACCGGTCGATGCTCGGGTGTCGCAAGATCGTGCGCAAGAGTGTGATGGTCGCGAGGCGTAGCGTCGGCTGCGAGCTCGTCACCAGCGCCAGAAGCGCCTGGCGGTACACGTTGGAGGTCAAGTCGAACGTCGTCGCCCGGACGTCAGTGGCCGGCCAGTCGCCGATGGAAAAGGCCGTGCACAGGCAGCACCGGTCGGCGCTGCAGTCGTCGTCGGTGTGGGGTTCAAATACGACCGGTGGGAGCACCGGCGACGGCGACGACACCCGCGAGGACGCCGTCGGCGACAAGCTTACGGCGTTGACCCGCAAGCTGTCGCTCGAGAGCGACGGCGTCAAGTGGGCAGCAGACTGTAGGTTCGAATCCAATGAGGTCGTGCGCCCGAGGACCTTCTTGTCGCCCATGCCGAGAGCAGCCGTCATATATGTTGTGCCTTGAAGCTCGGGGTGCAAGAGCCTACGCGACGGCATGAGCCATTCGCCTCGTACGAAGACGACGAAGAAGATATATGCACGAGACGTCGTACATGACGGCGGTCGCATGGAGCAGTGGGGTGTGCGACGAGCGTTGGAAGAACTGGGTGAGAAGATGCAGCGCTAACAGCGTCGAGATGCGAGGCGCCGCGTTCGCTGCGCAATTCGGCAGCAAGCTCCGAGCGAGGAGGTGCTGGAGGTACTCGTCAAAGAGGCATTCGCCGAGGCGGAAGCAGAGGTCGGGCATGGGCACCTGGAGGATGTCCTGGAGGTAGTACCACTGGTCGACGAGCTTGTCTTCCTTGTACTGGAACCGGTCGAGGCGAGTCGCGTCGGCTTGCAGCGCCAATGCGAGGCTGCCATTGACCTTGACGAGGTCGAGGAAGTAGGCGAGGTTCGACGGCTGCGTGAGGAAGCGGCGCATGCGGTCGTCGGGCACGCGCAACACGTTGAGGATGACCGTCTTGACGGCGATCTGCACTTGGATCTCGGCGCAGTGGCGGAACTGCAGCGCCTCGACGTACAGCGGGAACGTCCGCGTCGCCGCGTTGAAGAAGAACTGGACCGTGTCGATCGTCAAGCGGATCGAGACGGCCTTGAGGAACGTGACGTACCAGTCGCGCACGTCCTCGACGTCGAGGCGGAACATGCGGCACGTGAGCAGCTTGTTGACGTAGTTGTTGCTGAGGATGTAGTAGAGCGACGTGGCCGTCGAGATGTTCTGCACGAGGAGGCTCAGCGTCTGCAGCAGCTGCACCTGCACGCGGAAGCTCGGCGACCGGCTATTCGCGATCGCGACGAAGAGCGCCATCATGTTCTTCTCGCAGAAGAAGTCGAAGAAGAAGGCCTCGCCGCTGTGCTGGTCGCTGTAGATGAGGAACTCGGAGAGCACGCGGAGGAGCTCGACCAGCGTCGCCTCGGGCAGCTCGCGGAAGCGCACGAGCTGCGCGTGCACGGCCACGAGGCCGTCGAACGTGTAGCCAGCCCAGACCGGCGTCGCCTTCTTGAACCAGCCGAACATCACGTCTGGGGCACGGCGCGGCAGATGCCGAAAAACATCTTTCACAGTATTTCCAATCCTATTTTAATAGTGTGCCGTGACGTGGCGCCACCATTGACCGAGCAGCGAAGAAAGGCCGTGACGCTGACGACGCAGCGGGCGCGATGGACGACATGGTCCACGGTCGATGCCTGTCACGGAGCCACAGGCTGGTCCGCTGCTCCTGTCGCAGGATTTTCTTTTTTGCAGGAACTGTTGGAAGAAATTGTAGATTTTACACTCGCTTCAACTTTCTGCACTTGTTATCCAAAAGGTGAGGCATCAATCGACCTTGTCACCGCCGCCAGAAGCAACACAGCCACGTCGATCCTAGTTTGCCTGTGGTGTCCGACACACCGGTCGTGGTGGTGGCCGCCTCCGGTGTCGCCTGGATGTCCTTGTCGATAGAAACGACTCCATGGACGTCGCAGTACGCGCGGAGCTCTTCTTGAGTCGACGTGAGCAAAGCCGGTTGATCCTCCTTCGCGAGAAGGCGCAGCTTGCGCGTCAGCAGCATGCGAGGCGGCGGCGCACTTGGCACGAGGTCCACCACTTGGCACTCGGGACACTGCGGCACGACAGCAGAGCACGCTGCACAGGCAACTTGGGTGCCGATCGGGCAGACCGGGCACACATACACGGTGCCATACAGCTCGGGAATGCCGCAGAGGTCGCAACCGACCTTCTCCCGCGTCTCGTGCCACAGATCCGCGGCCACGGCAAAGCGCATCATCGCATCCAAGTCCGTCAGCGGCACGGACATGTTGAGGCGGTCGTAACACATGAGCAAGCGCACGATGGACATGGTTGCTACCGGCAGTCGCTCCAGGACCTCAAGGGATCGCACCGATGCCAAGTAGAAGGCCATGGCCATGTCGTACTCCTCGAGCGAAAAGTACGCCAAACCGAGCTGCTCGGACGCTACATGCAGCGCTTAGTACAGCACTAGTATGAGACCAGGGGCGTTGTACCGAGCGCCGCCAGCAGCGAGTTGTCCATGCCCAAGCCCTTGGTGCCGTCGTGAACGCGGTGCAGGTTCTCGATCGCGTCGGGAAACTTACCAAGGGCGACGAGTGTCTCGCCGACGCCGAGGAGCGCCCAGAGCGTGTGCGTGTGCGTGAGGCCGCAGACGCGGTCGAGGCCCGTGTACGCTTCCAAGTGCCACTGCAGAGCGTCGTCGAGCTTGTCGTGCTGGGCGAAGACAAGACCGACGTTCATCATCGCATTCAACGTCATCGGGTTGTCCTTGCCGAGGACTTGGAGAAGGCCCATGTAGCACTCGATCGCCATCTCTGCGGCGAGGGCGGCGTCCGTCGTACTCGCATCGTCGAGCTGCCGGATAGTGTAGACGATGGTTAGGGTTCTCGGGTGCGTGGGTCCGAGCACCTCGTGGAAGAGCTGCAGAGCCTCAGACCAGACCGCCCGGCCCTTCTCGACCTCGGCGTGCGAGAGGTAAAAGAGCCCCAAGTGGTACAGTGCGTTCATGACGGCCGAGTCGGCGCGGCCACCGATGTCGGTCAGCGCGGCGATGGCATCGACCAAAATCGGTTCCCAGACCTCGATGCGCTTGTTTTGGAGGCCGTAGATAACACCGAGAAAGCCTCGCGACTCGAGGGACTCGCGCGCATTTGGGCCCAGCGTCGCCTCGTACAGCTGCAGCGCCGCCTCACAGGGTGCGACGGCTTGGTCAAATTGGCACTGGTGACAAAGGAGACCCGCGAGGGCGGCGTTGTACTTGGCGGCATCCAGAGACCCTTGCGACTTGTGAACGCGCTCACGCAGCGCCGACTGCATCCAGTTGTCGAGCACCTCAAAGACCATGCGGTCCAGCGCCGGAAAGCCAATTTCGGTTGCAATCACTGCGTCAATGCTCGTCTTGTCGGAGCCGACGGTCGCGCGGGCGTTCTCGCTGTTGATGCTCCCGAGCATCTCGTAGAGCGCGTCGATCTTGTCGTTGGTCATGTCGAGAAAGAAGCTATCGGCTTGCGCCGGCGCAAGCGCAACGTCGAAGCTGGCGCCGACCGAGATGGCGACATAGACCTCAAAGACGCACCAGGACCGCGTGAGCGTGATCGGATTCTTCCACGGGTGCATGATCATGACGACGTTGCCGATGGCCGCAAGCGAGTCCTTGAACGTCGACTGCCACCACGAGAACGGGTAGTCCTTGGCTTCGTGCTGGTTGTTGTTGAAGACGCAGAACCACACAACGGGATCCTGGATGCCCTTGGCCGCGAAGAAGAGCTCGAGCGACGAGAGCGTCTCTGTAAACGTGTACAGCCACGCGTGGCTAATGTACCAATTCGATGGCTGCACGTAGTCGGCGTCGGCGGTGTGGAGCCGGACGTGCTCGACGAGCGACTGACCGGACGTCTCGGTGAATGGCACGACGTACTTGAAGCACACTTGCGCGGTCGTCAAGCCCTCGAACGACGCATCGCCACCATGGAGCTCGATGAACCGGCGAAAGTACGAGAGCTTGAGCCCCAGCGGCGCCGCGATCGCCGTCGCTGTCATCGCAGCACTGTACGGGTTGTGACCGGGGCAGAGAACGGACCAATGGCATCGGCGAAAAGAATCAAGCTCGCATCTGATTGGCCAGTGATAAATCCGCTTCCATGATGCGAACGTCGCTTTGGCCGACTTCTCGGCAGCACCGTGCGAGTTGCTACGTCGACTCCTGCGACTGCAAACGGTGGCTTCAACGCCAGCAGAATAGGACTTCGCATTGCTTATAGTAGTTGGTTCAGCTCCCAACTTTTACACTCGGTATACAAGAAACAAGTACACGTACAAGGGTACTCGATCGATTCTACACTCGATAGCTGCTTTTACGCGCCGCAACGAGCAGTCGCAAAGTCTTCATTTTCCATTTTGCAGCCGATCGACCACAACCATCACCGCTCCCTTCAGCCACGCTCCGACGACCGCCCTGCCCACGCACCGCCAACGACAACGACGCCACCATCCAATGGTAGACCAAGAAACAACCGTAGCTCGACGCCTCGACCGCCGCACAGGCCACTCCACAGGTGGTTCTGGACGAACATGTCCAGCGTTTGGCTCGCCAAGCGCTCGCAGCGATGAGCGAAGCGACTGCAACGGATGAAATCATACGTGCAGTCGAACGCGCTTTGCTGCGGGCGCGACGGCGGTCGAGGTCGTGACGATAGCCGCGGCCTCGAGCTGCCTTTTTGACTGTCCACGCTGCCATAATAAACTCAGCAATGTAAATATGTGTTTCTTGTACGTTGCAGTCCGCAAGCGAGGACTAGGGTTGCATTTGATATTCGTATGTTTTACGGTGCATTGACAGCATTGGGAGAAGGGTTAGGGCGCGACCTCGGTCTTGACGATGGGCTCGGACTTGATAGCCATGGGGCGCTTGGCGCTTGGCTCGTCGTCGGTCAACGTAGTCCGGCGCTTGCCTGCGACCGACGCCTTGGGCTTCGTGATCTTGATGCGCGTGACCTTGAACCCCTGAATCTTGGTGACGACGGGCTCCGACGACGTTGGTTGAGATGGTTGTGGCGCGGCCGTCACGGCGTGTGACAGTGACGGGCGCCGGACGTGGGTGACCCGGACAGGTACGATTGGCACTGGCGGCGCCAGCAGCTCGGTCTTGACCTCGACAGAGTCGAGAGGTGCTGCATACTCGGGCGTGGAAGCCGGCGAGCACAGATCAATGGTCTCCTCTGCCGCTGGCTCACGGGCTGCAGGGAAGCGCTCAGTGCTGACGGTAAGCGCTGGCATGTCGCTAGGTATGCGCTGAAGAGGGGCACTGGGGACGGTTGGTGGTGTCAAAATGACCACAGGCGCGCTCGAAGGCGTCACCGTCAAGCAAGGGGACTCCTTGGGCTCGGGCGTAGCGGGTGCGACGGGCGGCAACGCGATCTCAGCTTCGACAGAAGTGGCCGAGGCGTTCGATACCGGCACGAACGCAGTCCTGGAGGTCGTTGTAGCTAACACTGTGACGGCAGGCGCGTCCAGTGGCGTCGCCGTCATGTGCGGAAGCTCGATGGGCTCGGGCGTAGCGGGGGCGATGGGCGGTGCAGGTATAGCGAGCGACGGCTTGACTGTGGGCTCCGCAACCTCGTCTTCAAGCGGCAGCACGGGATCGAATGCAGGCGTGTTGCCCGTTGATGTTGATGTCTCTTCAGGGACATCAATGGGCTCATGCGCCTCCGACACGACGGGCGCCGCCTCGATCTCGGGCTCGACGTCGACGTCGACGACTGGTGTGGCGACGTTGTCGGCGGTACCTGCTGGATGCAACGGTACCTCGGGTGCGTCGGTTCTGGCGTCGGCGACTGCCCCGGGAACATCTCTCGGCGAGTGCGTCAAAGGTGGCGGCGGTCGCCGGGCGACGCGTCCCGCTAGGAAGCGTGCGTACGTCGCAACGTCCCAGTTTTCGTGCTCAAAGGTCGTTGCATCGGGAACGGTGTTGGCAGCGGCGTGCGTGAGAAGCACCATGGCAAGCTTGGCGCGCGTCTCGGCTGCAAACTCGGCCACGGCGGCCGTCGTCGCCGCCGTCCACTCGGACCGCGTTGTCGGTGGCAGCACTGCATCCAAGAACGGGTCGATCATCGCCCGTTGTACGTTGTCGACTGACGCGGGCGCGTCGATGGTCGCGGTCGTCGCGGGCGTGAACAGGGCGTAGAGCTCGTGGAGTCCGTAACGACTGGCTCTGCAGAGCTGAAGCCACATGAGGTACGGGCTCGAAGCGTCGCGGACGACGGCATGCAGCGCGGGCGCGAGGGCGGCGAGAAGGAACTGGCTGGCGTGACGCACGGCGCGCTGGTGCATCGTCTCGACCTCGTTGACGATGGCCTCGACAACGCGTCGCTGGACTCGGCGCGCGCGGCGCGCGACGGCGACTTGAAGGCCCACATCGCTGAGCGCGTGATCGTCGACGTCTGGGACGGCGCTGTCAGCCGCCGCCATGAGCATGTGCATTGTGGCAGGGCCAATGGCGTTGGCGTAGGTCCGGGTCCTCGTAGCCCTCCACGAGGTAGTAGCTGGCGCAGTTGGCGGCGCTGGCAGCGGCCAAGAACGCCGGCTGCCACGCAGGAAACTGCGCGAGCTGCTCCAGGCGCGGGCCGCCGACCGGCGAGGCGCACACCATCGTGCTTGGTGCAAATGTGGAATCCATCACGTTTATTATAACATTGTTTTATTAATATGTGTTAGGAGTATAAAACAGGTGTACACAACAATATGGATGCTGACGCCCGCCATGCCATCGATCACTCTTTGCAGGCCCGCGCGTGCCGAGACATATCACACTCTCGACCAAGTCAGCGCTCACTTCAATACGTTGTACGACGCTACTAAATGCTGCGACGCGATGCGTTGCGAGGGGCAAACCTACCGCTTCGCATTTCAACACATAATAGTGTTGTAAACAAAAGTGTTAGATACGTTTGTAAATTGGACCAATCAAAAACCGCGAACGATCGGCCAGCAGCGCCAACACCCACCGGCAGACAGGCGAATCCCACCACCGCTCCCGTGGCCGCGGTGCCCCGTCTTCTAGGACGATGGCCCAACTGCAACGAAGCTGCAGGTGCTACGAGGCTAGCTCTCTTTAAAGGGTTGAGTCCAGAAGGCTACGTGAACGAGAACACTTCCTTTCATTTCTCGACGATGGCTAGCCTGCCTGCCTACAGTGCTACATGGTTGACGTGCGGCCGCGGCGCATACAGCGCTCTTCGAGAAGCTGTCGCTTCTGGGCAACGTCGATGGGTGCAGCAGGCGCCTCCTTGCGCTTGACGCGGCTCATCTTCATGAGCCCCTTCCGGATCAACGCTGCTTCATCGCTCGCGGTGCGCGGGACGAAGGCAAGCGTACATGGCTGGCCATCGATGACCGGGAACGCGTGCCCGCCAGCGTAGCAGGTGTTTTGAAACACGCGGTTTTCCCAGTCCAAGGTGCGCTGCCGGCACCGGGACGCGGCATGGTCGTCGTACCCGCAGTAGGCACACGCGGCGGACGACGACGTCGTCGTCGGTCGC